AGGGAATTTCAAAGACTCTCATGAACGAAAGACATTTGGGATAAAAATGAACACATATTTTAAGGCCAGAAATAAAGGACTTAATGTAGACTCTGGCTTTCTCACTATCAGGGTACCTTGTGTATTGGCACAGGCTGTGCCATGAACTGACACCATCCAGCAGAAGATTGGGAATATTCCCAGTAGCTCTTATCTTGTTTCTAGCGGTTCTCGCACCGGCCACTGTTTCTTTGCCCCTTTTTATGACGTGGCGCATGCGTGCCGATGTCATGATGTTAATGACATCATGGCTCGCCAAAACGTTTGAATTTGAACATTTTGGGGGTATGGTTACATATCAAGGAACACTGTTGTTACGGTTGCCTCCAGGCTGGCTTGAAGTTGGACCATAGAAAGCATGCTCCTAGCGCTCACCAAAGGTCCATCAGCACCGTAGACACTATAAGCACTGCAGACTCCACTGACTGCCGCTGCTGGGCTAGGATCTCCCCGTCTGCTATCCACCCTGGACCTACGACCAGGCTCCAGTAGGTGAACCTCTTCCTTCTGTAGAGTGAAGCAGGATCAGGAACAAGAGCTCTTACAAGAGCTCAGTGGCTAAGGGAGTAGGAAGAGCATAGCAATCCCTGTAGTGATTATAGCTGTCCCCTACAAACATGAGTCAAGGCTGCAAGTTAGAGGGTCAAGACATTCTCATTTATTTGGCACCAAAGGGCCTTCTTTTATGCAGGTTTTACTTACATAGGACCACCCACAGGGTTTTACAGAACAACAAATAACACACGTACATTACAGAAAACACTCACAGCAATTACACACAAAATCCTCCCCTCTGCCTGTGATCTAATTATGGCACACAATGGTTTAACATAATTATCACAGGCAGGAAAAATACAGTTTTTATACATGTACTATAACTTTAAAACCATACATCCAAAAACCACATATTCAAACTCAGAACACTTAAAATACAAACATATCCAAAAATCAGACAATTCCCTCCAGTGGTTTAAAAGTTAGGTCGAAATCCTTTGATTTCCAGCCCAAACCAGTTCCACAGAGTCTTCTATCCAGATAATTGGCTTAACTGGGTGTGGTAAGCCAACTAGCACCAGGTACAGAAAATATCCCCATTCACAACAACAGCAAAAATACACAAAAATACAAAACTCTTATAATACTGAACAGAACCCCCACATTCAACCTATACCCATATGGCTTGGATTTGAGCGCTCGATATATCCAAATAGAGCTCAGATCCCACAAACACAGTCAAATCGCCATACCCACTAGGTCCATAGTCATGGGGCAGAAGGCTGGCAATTAGGCTTCTCCATAACACAGGGAAGCAAGGCAATTTGTGAAATAAAATAACAGTTACAAATGGCAGTTTGTAACATATCTCCCCTTTTGGAGGGAGACTAACTAGTCACCTGACCTTCTGTCAGTCAGTGCCTAAGTTAGTCTCGCAACCCACCCACAAATAAACATTGGCAGAGTAGCCCCCCACAATAAATAGTACTGGCCTGTAGGTCGCAGGTTGTAGGGTGAAAATGCAGCACCCTTGGCCTTCCTGGTGCAGCTGGGCAAATAGCTGGGGCTACTTGGGGGGGCAGAAACAAAGCCTTTGAAATTGACAGTAAATTTGAGTTAGTGGCCATGAAGATAGCCAAGATTACGTAAAACGCATCATCAAATCCAGTTAACACATTATGCATAAAGTCAAATGGACCACCTGACAAGAAATTGTGATGATGTAATTGCGCCATCTACTGACCAAAAACTAGATGATAGTCTGTAGGGTAGACACACCTACAGTTCCCTATTGGTCCTATCAACTAGTGACATGCAGAGAGTTTGGCCCTTTAAAAAGTAAAGACAGGGAAAATTGGGGAGTCAGACATTCAGACATTCAAACACTCAGCTCTTTGGAACATTCATACTCTTTGAACCACATTCAAACTTTCTTTGAAACACTTGGACTGCACTCAATAAACAACACTTTCCAGACACTTACATTTTACTATCGTTTTTACAACCAACACCACTTTTATCTATTCCATACAATCCTCTATACATCATACTTTAATTCAATTCCTGGGACTATCTACACATCTGAGAGAAAATCTACAACCTAACTGGTAATTATGCTGGTTTTATTTAATTAAATTAAATTAATTAATTTTACTAATAGCAGGAATTTATATCTGGATAAATCTTGGTCAGATTTCAATCATTAGAAATCTTAGTTAGCTGAGGAATATATGGTTATAAAAATTCCATTCCTGCAGGTGCAATAAAGATAACGGTATATTAATGATAAATTTGTCACAGGTTAGCATACCGATATGTTATCCAGATGTATTGACTTGTTCTGAAATAAGATAGTATATCTTATTTAGGAAAGTTAAAATTCAGCAAACGTAAAATCTGGTAGATTTATTCTTATTGGATGGTCCAGGAATGGTTAATGATCTGATATGAACATTGCTTTAATTTTAAAGTTATAACTAGAGTTGAGCGAACCCGCTTTGGAAGGCTGCAGGGCAGCCAATCAACAAGTGTTTGACTCATGTGCCCTTAGAAGCCATCACAGCTACTGCTGTGATTGGCCAGTGCAGCATGTGACCCAGCCTCTATATATAAGCTGGAGTGGCAAAGCGCCGCACACACATGCAGTCTTATTAGTGTAGGGAGAGGATGCTGCCGCTGATAGGGACAGCTTAGCAAAGAATTCTGCAAACTAGTACATTAGAGGGGTGGGGTGCACTTCATATCTGAGAGTCAAATAGAAGCTTCAAATACCGCGGTTACATCAGAGGTTTAAAAAGTAAAAAATTTTTGGTGCTAAATAGTACATTAGTGGGGTAGTACATTAGTGGGGTGCACTTCATATCTGAGAGTCAAATCGAAGCGTCTAATAGTGTGCTTACAGCGCAGTGGTAAACATTCTTATTTTCTGGGTGTTAATCTGCTAAATATTACATTTTGTGGCCTGCTCTTCATATCTGAAAGTCAAATAGAAGTATCTAATACTGTGGTTACAGCACAATTGTAAACATTCTAATTGTTTTGGTGCTAAACTGCTAAATAGTACATTTTGGGGCGTGCACTTCATATCTGAGAGTCAAATGGAAGAGTCTAATACTGCGGTTACAGCGCAATTGTAAACATTCTAATTGTTTTCCTGCTAAATAGTACATTTTGGGCCATGCACTTCATATCTGAGAGTCAAATCCAAGCGTCTAATAGTGTGCTTACAGCGCAGTTGTAAAATTCTAATTTTCTGGGTGTTAATCTGCTAAATAGTACATTTTGTGGCCTGCTCTTCATATCTGAGAGTCAAAAAGAAGTGTCTAATAGAGTGCTTACTGCGCAGTTGTAAACATTCTAATTGTTTTGCTGCTAATCTGCTAAATAGTACATTTGCGGCCTGCGGTGCACTTCATATCTGAGAGTCAAATAGAAGCGTCAAATAGTGCGCGTACTGCGCAGTTGTAAATATTTCCATATGTCCTTTGCAGACTTTACATGCTGGAAAAACACAGGTGCCAACTGCTGTGGCTTTCTGCAGTGTGCATACCGGCAAGGAGGGCAGGGTTGAGGAGTGGGTTGAAGATGATGTGTGCTAATCTGCTAAATAATAAATTTTGGGGCCTGCGGTGCACTTCAAATCTGAGAGTCAAATCGAAGCGTCTAATAGTGCGCTTACAGCGCAGTTGTAAACATTTTTATTGTTTTGCTGCTAATCTGCTAAATAGTACTTTTGCGGCCTGTGGTGCACTTCATATCTGAGAATAAAATAGTGCGCTTACTGCGCAGTTGTAAACATTCTAATTGTTTTGCTGCTAATTTGCTAAATAGTACATTTGTTCCTAAATAGTATGTTTGGGGTGTTCACTTCATATCTGAGAGTCAAATCGAAGCGTAACTTTGATTCGAATTTATTACATCGGTCACTTGTAATATTGTTTCACACCTACAACACTTGTTACACAGATCTAAGTGATAGAAAACAGATTGATATTTTCTACACTAGAAACTACCAAATAACAAGCTGCTATATTTAAACCAGTTATCAATAGCTAAGAGGTACTTCAACAATATTGTAATTCTGGGGCAATACCCTCACAAGTCAAACTGAGAGGTCAGTTTATAGGGAAAACTGTTGCCTGGATACAATTCTAAAACAATTTCCATATGTCCTTTGCAGACTTTACATGCTGGAAAAACACAGGTGTCAACTGCTGTGGCTTTCTGAAGTGTGCAGACCGGCAAGGAGGGCAGGGTTGAGGAATGGGTGGAAGATGATGTGGAGGATGATGAGGTCCTAGACCCCACATGGAATCAAGGTCATGCGAGTGATGTGTGCAGTTTGGAGGAAGAGGCGCTGGTCGCACAGATGCACCAGCACAGCATAAGAGGGAGCAGGGTGCAAAAGCGGAACGGCCGTCCCTTAGCGCTCGTCGGCATGTATTAGCTCGAGAATTACCAGTTATCCAAGTAATACATGTAGCGATCAAATGATTCATAATAGAGTTTAGCGAACCCGAACTGCAAAGTTTGGGTTCGTACCAGATTTAACGATCCATTCGTAGTTTCACAGTCAGGTGGGCAGTCCGGTTACCAGGACCCAGACACAGTCTGGGCGGCGGTCGGATGACCGGGACCCAGTATGCCTGATGTTGAAGTTAGGAGTCACAGTGTGGAATGGATTAGCAGGGTCTGGTGCAGGTTAACCGCACGCACCCTGGTGTTGAGCACCAGCGTTTGTGCGGCCACATACCAGGAACCTGATGCAGCTTCAGTAAAAAGAGTACTGGATACCAGAGGCCATCACCAGACTGATCCGCAACATGGAACAGGATGTGACATTCACTGTAGCGACTGTGCGCACTTTTGGTGTTGTCACCCTGCTGCTGCTCGCCTGTCTGCGCTGAAGCATAACTTCGGCCTTCCAGCTCACCATCTCATGAGACTGTGCGAGCAGCAGCAGGCGATAGTGGAGTTTCAGCTGCAGCACGCACGGGTCAGTGGCTCTGCACCAGACTTCCCTCCAATTGATCAGAGTTAAAGGATTTCAAGTGGACTCATTACAATTACAGGGCCTCTAAAGAATCCTGTATTGTTATTTGTCGTCACTACCTTCTATTTATTTGTCGTCACTACCCACTACCGCGTCGGGAGTGGGTCATTTGCGTGCCTGCTGCCTTCCTTGCATGTGGTAGCTGTTTCTCAGTGTCCCTGTACGGAATGGAACCCTGATTCCCTGTTACCCGTGGTCACCATGGTAGGCGCAGAAACTGGCATCGAAAGTTGATATGGATGACATCCGCATGCAAAGTCGCCGCCACGGGGATGTGCGATTGGCCCAAGGTTCTCTAGAGTCAACAAAGTGCCTGCACAACTATAATGTCAACAGCTACTCTGCAGAACTGAGTTGTCATTTTTTATATGTCCCAATATTTTGGGGGCTACCTCAATTAAAATATATATATATATATATATATATATATATATAAAAACAGTGTTGGCTACCTCCTTCTCCTCCTCCACATAAACTAGGTACACATTAGCAGAGGCTTGTAAAGGACTTTTCTCCATGCATCAGGAGTTGAGCATTTCTCCATGCATCAGGACTGCAAGAAATGCACCGCAGGCCACAAATGTTTCTTTTTTTGTATGTCCCAATATTTTGTGGGCTACCACAATTTAAAAAAAAAAACATATAAAACAGAGTTGGCTACCTCCTCCTCCTCCTCCACCGCCACTTCCACCTACACCGCCACTGTCACCGCCTCCTCAACCTATGGGTCACTTAGTATAAACTATGTACACAATAGCAGAGGCTTGTGAAGGCCTTTTCTCCATGCAAAAGAGAATACCCTGCACTCCAACCCTCTCTCAAATGGATAATTCTGGTGATCCTACTGACAGCCATGCTTTAGATTTTGATTTATGTTCTTCTAATGCTAAAATCAAAGATTCCATCTAGTGCTATTTTATGGCTCAGCTGTATTTTTAATTTTTATGTTATTTTAAGTGATTTCCTTATCCACATTTGTTTGCAGGGCACTTGTCCTACTCTTACCCGCATTTTATTTGCTTTTGCAACTCTCTAGCTCTTTCCAGGAGTTTTTTAGAGGCATTTTTGTGGCCAAAAGTTCGGGTCCCCATTGACTTCAATGGGGTTCGGGTTCGGGGTCAAGTTCGAGCCCAAACTCCGACTTTTTTTCAAAGTTCAGCCGAACCTGTCTGACCCGAACATCCAGGTGTCCGCTCAACTCTAGTTATAACATAATAGGATATCTTGCCTAGGAGGATTGTAGCCAGCAGTGAAAGGGTAAATTCAGTGTGGTTTGACTGTTGGACAAATTTTTTATTGCTTTAGGCTGTGCTGTGTATTCTGTGTGAAGTTAGTTTTTAAGTGAAGTATAGTATAAATGATTGTGAAGTATAAATCTTGTTAAGTTCTTGACAACTGATTGTTTTTAGCCGCTGTCTTGTGTTTAAAGCATTGCCATATTGTATGCCTATGTTATACTAAATATTCACTGATTATTGTCATGCATGTTACATATTATTATTTTATTATTATTGTCACAATAAATTATATTTTCATAATCAAATTGTGATCACTGTGTGAAGTAAAAATCCTCTAATGAACTAGGATCTAAGAGAATTAAAATCGTGGGTAATTCTCAGCTTTATCTTATCATTTTTTCGGGAAACCGTGCCAAGATATCAATTTTGATATAATAAAAAATATTAAATTTACTCTTGATAATTTTTATGAAAATATTATTTTAATATTTATCACCCCATAAATATCCTCACAAATTTGGAGGCACTGCTGAGATCATTAGTTGAAATTATATTTCACACAGTAAGTTGGAGGCATGTGTAATTCATGCAATATTAATCTTGATATTGAAATAGTTTTGTATTAAGATTAATTCAGTATGGCTGAATCCAGCACATCATCTCAATCAGATAGTGGGAAGAGGTTATTAGACCTGCAACTTGTTCCTTTAAGCATCTTACATAGGCATCTAAATATTAAAATGAATTATAAAGATTGGGTATTCCAAATTAAAGAACAAGTTCTTAATTCAATTCATGATAGATCGAATAATGCACCTATAGTTAAACATTTTAACAACATAGACAAAGAATCTACGATACTGTCTGTTATCGACTCGTGCGTTTTTCATATTGGGTTATTCAATTATGCTAAAAAAGCATAATGAATTAGAACTTAAATTGGACTAATGTCACAAAAACCTGATGGAACAAAGTAAATTTGAAACTTTGTATGCTGAACATAATATCCTTCAGGTTAAAAACTCTGACCTTTCAAATAGACTGGAAAGAATAAGCATCATGATGGAGAATTGTGAACGGCAGATAAAACAGATACAGATACAGTTAGATGAAAATCAACAAGATAGTAAAAAATCAATGGAAAAAGACCCAGGCAATTTTTCTCAATTCCCTGATATTTGCAGATTAGACAAGGTTTTCATAAAACAGTCTGAAAGAAATGATGTGAGTAATTCTGAGAAAACACCTGTTGGACAGGATTCCTCATTTCATGATATTGTCAAACACTGGCAATCTTGGGCAGAACAGTTTGAAAAGACTGTCTTGGCCAAGCTTGATACAGGTAATCAAGTTCAGGGTGATAGGAGTGAAAACAGACATGGTTTTGTACACTGCCAGAACCCTGATGCTGATCAGAATTGTGACAGTGAACGAGAAGCTCAGAGTGATGGGAGTGAAAGTGATTGCACTGTCCACTCTGAAGGCCATGTGACTGATATGCCAATCGCACTGTTATACAGATCTAATTCCTCTTCAGCATCCAGATCGCATAGATGTTTACCTAAACATAAGGAATATAGAAACGGTCGTAAATCAACTATGCCTGTCTATGAAACGCCTAAGGTTATTACATTTCTCAAAGAGACAGTCCCACAATTTTCTAGAAGTTCAGGAAACATATCTGAACATCTGGAAAATTATGAAAGAGCCATGAATTCATTGGGCATGTATGATGACATCCATAAGAAATGGTACATTACATGGACCTTTGATTCAATATGCCGTATTCATCTAGAGAGTCTTCAAGCTATACAGCTAATGTCCTGGTCAAAGATGAAATATTAGATAATCATGGAATATGGTAAGTATAAAACCATTGCTTCTGCTAGGAAAGCGCTTATAACTTAAAGTGCCGTCCAGATCAAAGCCCCAGAGAATTTTTAATAATTCTTAAAAATGCATATTCTGTGGCCCAAAGGAAACCAAGGTATGAAAGTACAAAATTCAAAGATCTGTATTTTCATGCTATGCCAGAAAACATACAAATGAATCTTGCAAGAGATTATGATTGTAAGTTACCGTTAGAATGTCTAGTCAGTCAGTGCATGAAATTGTATACTATACACCATGCACATGATGAAAATAATCAAAAGGTTGAGAAACCTGGTGATAAAATGGTGTCAAAGACTAAAATTCAGATAGGTTCAGAAACCCAACAGAAAAAGAAGACTTATTCTGAGGTTTTTAAATCTCCAAAACCTCAGAAACAGGAAAATGCCATAAGCAATCCTATTAATTCCTCTGATAATAACTCTGAAAAGTTCAATACCAATGGGAATAAATGTCCCTGGTTTAATAAGAAACAAGGCAATTCCCAATGGAAAAGGAATCCTCAGGGAAATAGGAGATATGGAAACAGAAACACCCTGCTTCCAATAACTCCCAACAGTCTCAGGCATCCCAGCCTATTTCTAATGGGCAAAGACAAAACAGCCATGGTGGAAATAATTTGCATCGTCAGGTTGGTCAATTGACCGACCAGATGGGCAAATTAATGGAGGAAATGACAAAGATTTACCAAGTCTTTGCCAGAAATCCTTTTTTAGGGACAGCTCCAATTGCAGAGCCACCTGTGCAACTGCAGCAGCAACAACAGGTGCCGCAGCAACAATAGCCTCTGTGACTAAACAGGCTAGGTTATCAGTAGATGTATTGCCTAACCCTGTTTCCTTTCCAGATCCTCGCAGTCAGACAAACAATGGTCGTGTTAGAAAACCTATTGCCAACCCTCGTCACTTCACTTCCAGGTGAAGGAGGCGCAATGTGACGCTCTGCTTTTTCATTACAGCCAAAAGCTAAAATATCTCTAGCAGCCTCTACTTTCCAGGATCCAGGCCTGAAAGGGTTAAATGATGAGATGCCAACCACTAGTTCCCGCTTGATAGTTCAAGATTTTCCTAAGAAGGATGGGCCAGTTGGTAAGACTGAGCATTCCTCAGTACAGGTAGAAACTACTGCTGTGACAGGTAACGTATGGAAAACAAGTGATATGTTGACACATTCTAAATTCTTATGTGAATTAGAAGAACATGAAGGAAGGTACTACATGTCTGTAGAAATACAGGATTCACTACCCCAACCTTTCAAAGGGTTAATAGATACTGGTTCATAAGCAACTATCTTATCCAACACCTACTTCCAGCAGGTAATGGACTTAGCAACGGATAAGCAGAAGCTAAGAAATGTCCCCAATGATCTGTTGAGTGTAGGAGGAAATGCCCTTCATGTTATAGGCACTGCTTGGTTAAAGTGTAAAATAGGTAACAAAACCTTTAGACATCTGGTAAGAGTGGTAGATCTCCCCTATATCTGACTGATTCTGAGTATAGACATACTCAGAAGACAACACAATTATTGACTGTGTGAATATAATTGAATGGTCACAAGCTAAGGTTTCTATAACCTATGAGAAATCACATGTTCAATCTGAATGTAACTGCCATGTGACAGAAGAAAGACCTGACTCTATTGAGGTACATTTTAGGAATAGTCAGTCACCTGACATGACTATCCTGCAGGTAAATGATGCAATTGCACCTGTAGATGAACATTCCATAAGAGTTGCTCCAGAGAGAATCCAGAATGTCTCTCTGGAAGGTGATGTTTTAACCATTTCTCTCCTCAGGGACTATTTTGAATCTGTTGATCTGGCAGGTCATGCTCAATTTCTTGCCAGAATTGAAAGGGTTAATAACAACTTATTCTTTCCTATTCAAATAAATGACTTAGGAATAACTAGGAATGCAAAGCTGGACTTAAAGAGTGAGAATAGCTATATTAGCAGAAGTCTGTTAAAGCAGATCGCTAATCCTAAAATGATCAGGTACGCTTCCCCACATGACAGATGGATCCAGAACATGGATGGCGAATCGGAGGGTCACAATGTGATAGCAAAATGTTTACTATTTATTTCCATCGGAAATAAGACGGCTAAACATTTATTTCTAATTTCTATTCTCGTGATTCCTGCTCATTGAGCGGATGATTGAAGGTGATTGATACCTCTTCGATCTTACACAAGCCTTCTTCGACATTAAAGGAATATACAGATAGGATAGTGAATAATCCTTCTGGGGATGAATAGAATTTTTGATCGACAATTTCGTCCTCAGTTAAGTATTCTTCAGGGATGAGGCCTATAATTTGGTTTTGGAAACCAAATGTATAGTACTCAGCATCCAATGCTAAACCTAATAATGTTCCTTTTGG